GTTTTTTATCGCACGTCAGAGTCACGGTGTCGCCGAGCCGTTTGGCCCTTCGTGCGGCTGAGCGACTTCGCCGACTGTGGAAAAACACTGACGGAGAATCCCTCCTCTCCCGGCTCGAGCCGAACACGTGTACATGCTGTGTAATATACCGAGTGATGACATGCTGTAAACTTATGTACCATGCAGTTAGCCTGTACTGTTTGTTTCTCTTTTCTAATTGTTGAAGCTTGGTGTGGTGAGCGCTGCCCTCCCTGCTTGAAAAATGAGACGTTCTGATTTGTTGAACTGCCTTTTGCTTCTTTCTTTCTTTCTTTCTTTTTCTCCCTCCTACCTGACGTCGGTTTTTATCAAAGCGTGCCTACTCACCGTCCCGCCGAGGGATACCGCTGTACAGAACATCCCAGAATCCCCTCCTGCAGCACCCAGCAGAGGAGCGCGTGTGTGTGTGTGTGTGTGTTTGAGAGAGTGTGTGTTGAGAGTGTGATGGATGACGTGTCTGTTTGTGTGTGTTGCCCACAGATTTCGCACCGTGAGCGTCTGCAGGACGCTGTGTGATCTCCGGTCGGTTCCTCGCAGTTCTCGTTGTCCGACGCGATGACGACTAGAACGTTTTTTTGATTTTAAGTTTGTGATGATAAAAGATCTTTTTGTAAACAATGTTTTGTGTCTGAATCCATGGAGTTTGTGATCATCAGATTTTTTTTTTTTTTTTTTTCTCTGTCCACTTTTCCTTTCGGTTTCTTTTTGTTGTTCTGTACAGATGAAAATTGGACAGTTTGTTAATAATAATAAAGTCTGCAAGGTTTCTACTCCACTGTTAGCTCTGCTTATTTCACAACCATCATTAAAGCACAAGCCTGGTGATATTCCATTTATATGTGTGTGTGTGTGTGTGTGTGTGTGTGTGTGTGTGTGTGTGTTGCCAGCAATAATCACCAGAGTGCCAAGTGTGGATCAATCCACTGCTGAAAATAGGCTCCAACAATTTCCTCTTGTTTGATTTTAAAAGCTACAGTGACCAGCTGTTAACTGAGCCTTTTTCCTTTTAAACAAAGGGTGATGCTGTGTCCGTATTCAAGGGACGCGTCCGTCGGAGGACGGTGGCGTGGCCCTTCGTAGACCGAGAGGACCAAAGCGAAATGAGACGGTCTGGATCTCAACATCTATTAAATACATTGGCATTATGAGAAACCGACTATGAACAGAACAATAGCCAAAATGATAGGAACTAGAAAAACAGCTTCATGGTTGTATCCCTCCGCCACTCAGACTACTTTCCGGTTACATCCCAGTTTATCCAGAATCATAAATAAAAATAAAAATAACCGTTTGTGTGAAACTGCTGTGCAAAGTCTTGAATTAAGGCTGAAAAGTGTTTTGCGAGGGAACACTGACCTTGACCGTATGAACATGGAAAACACGAAAACATAAAAACTCCTGTTGTCGTAATAAACCATAATTCTCCATGTGTGCCGTTAAATTTAAACAGTGAGACAGGCTAGCTGATTAGCATGCTAACTTCAGTAGAAGAAAGTGATAGAAATAGAGGAAAAACGAGTTAACATTCAAGTCGACATGTTTCTTTCCAGCTTCCTTTTTCTTTACAGCTGTTGGTGAGTAAAGGAATGAAGTTTGATGCTGAACTCACAATGTTTCTTCTAGACTGGTAAGTAAATAGCCGCTAATGCTAACGTTAGGTATGTAGCAGTGGCAAAACTTACATTTAGCTCCTTTAAGGGACTGGGGATTTAATTAAAATGTGCTTTTGCGACGTGTTATTGTGCAGGAGTATTTAAAGACACGAAAACCAAATCCTAAAAAACAAGATGGCATTCAGCCTGAACTATTGTTTGTTTTAGTCTCAAGTGAAAACTTGTCAGCAGCAGTAAAACATACAGACAATTACAATAATACTGTTGTAGGTTCATCTTTATCTGCACATACATTATAGAAACTTTAAATTGCTCCCTGTGGACGAACAAAGTTTCTTGTCTTGAATTGAACAGAAACTACACTGAACTGAAATATGATGATAACTATAACCATGGAAACATGAATCAGTCAAGTTTCATTGTGACAGTGAAATGTTTCCTCTGAATAAATTAAAGGACAAGTTAAACTATAATTTACATTCAAGTATTTTACATTTCAGCCCACAACAGTTATTGTTTTTTAATTAGTCTTCTTTTTTTTTGGTTCATTATGTGATATTCTCGCCTCTAAAGGTAATTAGATGGCAAATTAAATCCAGCCTATAGTTGAATCACATGCTTGTTTTCTTCTGGCCCAGTGAACGCCCAGTTCCACGGCCCAAATCTGGCCCATATACAGCATGAGTGAAAGATGCTACTTCCACATCTGGACCAATTCCAGGCTGTCAGTCAATAACAGATCTGCCCAGATGTGGAAGTACACTGGCCAGACTTGGGCCAAGGACTCAGGTATATGTTGGGCCAGAGGTTTCAGTTTGCTATCTGGCTCTGCACCCTTAGGTGCTCATTCATTCTTATGTGATATGGACGCTAACGCTGTATGCTAACATTTCTGATTTATCTATAATTTATAAATCCTCTGACACCAGTGTGTGGTCTTTATGCAGCCGTGTGTGTGTGTCTGTCTGCCTGTCTGTCTGTCTGTCTGTCTATAGACATACAGTGTTAACATACATACGACAGTATGTCTGCGTGTGTGTTGTCTGTTTTCATGTGTGTGCTCTGTCTGGTCCGTGGAGGCTTCAGGTCGTCTGACAGACCCGTGTTAAATTCTTCAGACCAAAACATGTCGACCTCGCAGCTGCTACTGAACACAACAGTTTACAAGTTAAACGTCTCAAAAACATAAAAAAACAAAATCTTCCAGGATGATTTACAGCCTGTAACACGACTCAGAACAGACATTAAACCCGCAGGAGACACAGCGTCGGGGTAAACATGTTTATTCTATGTTGAATTGAGTCATTTTTACATGTAGAATCAGAGAAAGGACAAAGTACAGAAACAGATTCAGTTCACCTGGAAATAAAATAAAAATACACTGACTCGTACACAGTCCCAGTTTGTGCCACATTATGTTTACGTTCAGATCACTTAAACATTTGTTTTTCTTTAGATTCAACGTGATTTTAAAAAAGACACTCGTTAGAACTTCATTCAGAATCATCAATGACATCCATGACACACTGCAATCAGGAGCTGCTAATAGAGAAGTCAACTTCTTTTAATGGTGCTGAGAATGTAAACAAATATAGGTAAAAAAAGAAAAAAGCAAGGCAGTTGTTTTGAGGTGATCTTTTGCTTGATTTGAGCAAATGAAAAATGCTTCGCTCCGAGACACAAATGTGAAGATAATGCAAGAACAAACCCACACCCTGATTTATCTTCCACCCAGAATACATCTCTTTTGAATCTTTTAAGGTTTCAAAAATGTTTGTAGTCAGCAGAAAAGTCTGTGCACTGTGACCTCTGCAGAAAATAGTGCTGAAGTTCCAGCGTCCATGACATGCACTTAAAAACAAGAAGAGTCGCTTCACTGAGATTCTCCAAAGAAAGAAAATGAACATGATTTTAGCAATTACAAGTTACTGAAGTTGAAGTTATGAGGAAATACATCAATTTTTTTTCTTAGGTGATTGCAGTGGATTTCTGTACGATAGTGAAAGATTTCATGATGAAAGAAGCCGAGGGAACTCAGCTTAAAAACAAACAAACAAACAAACAAACAAACAAGGGCCTTAAAACCTCATGTTTTTGTAAAAAAACGAACAAAAAAAAAACATGTTGTCAATGTTGTTGCTAGGCGACAGAAGCGGCGCTTTGTGATGCAACAGTAAAGGCGGCACAGCTGGGGACGCAAACTGCAAATCCCCCCAAAGGCCAGACCGTCTCAGTTCAGTTCGGTCTTTCCCGAAGGATGCAGCCCCTGGATTAGGACACAGCTAACGTGTCAGCCGTGTTAGAAGTGCGTGTCGGTCAGTTCACCACTTTGGTCCAGACTGAAATACGTCAACGATTTAATAAAAAAAAAAGAAAGTGTAAAACTCTTCTGTCACCTCCTAGTCAGGAGATCTGCTCAGTCTCAGCTCATTCAGTGGAGAACTTTACGAACTAACAAAGTCCAGTGACAAAACAAATCTGAATTATTTTGCCTTTGATTTGTTTTGTTTTCCAATTAATTGTTTTATCCTTTAATACCTTATTTAAGTTGCAGAGCCTGGTTGATATTGTGGTGTTACGTGTTTGTGTTCAATATTTGGTTTGTTCAGTTTGATCTGTCTTTATTATTTTGACTTCTGGTTATTTATGCCATGTTTTCATGCATTTTATTATCATGTTTTATTTATTTTAAAAAAGTCCAATCACAAAAATCTACAAATATTCACATTTGAAAATCTGAATTCTTGACCGTCTTGCTTAAAAATAACAATATAAATTATATACTTTTTTTTTTTTTTTTGCACTGTTCACTGTCTGCTGTAATCCCTCTGTGGAACTAATAGGACTAATTTATCTTAACTTATATATATTTTGTGATAGTACTTAGAATTTGACTGAAGCCAGGAGTCAGGAGCGTCCAGCGGAGGAGACGGCGATACTGAAAACCTGTTTGGTTAAACTGAACTCCTCAGCGCTGGATATCTATTGTCTATGTGGCCACATTATTTACAGAATTCATAGTTTTACAGAAGTTCGACAGAGACAGTAAACTCACCTACAAAGAGGCCAAAAAACACTCAGTGGTTTGACCCCCCCCCCCCTTTAACCCCATAGAGACTTGGTGGCACTAATTCAACGAGGTTCCTGTTCCTGCGCTTGCATTCATTACATGATCCTCCTCCTCGACAGTCAGAGCTCAGAGTCAAACATATTTATTTCTTCTTCTTCCAATAACAATATATTTAAGAATTCACTTTAGGATTACTGTTGTGATTTCAGTCGGACTGTGAAAGTTCTGGCTTTTGCCACCAAATGAACCTTGAACCCCCCAACACCCACCCACCCACCCTAAAACTCGTAGGGAGCGACGAACAGGGTGACCTTGGTCAGGTAGCGGCCCAGCAGCGTGTTGCGCTCCAGCTCGCTCATCTCCACCTCGGCCTCCAGGGTGGCGGGACCCTTGATGGGCGTCACCAGGAGGAGCGTGCCGGTCTGTCGTCCCGAGCGCTGCACGCTGAAGTGGCCCCGTCCGCGGCCGCCCGCCAGGCCGAAACGCAGCGTGTCGCCCAGCACGCGAGCCGCCGACACCCGGAAGAGGACGCGAGGGGCGGACATGTTGGACACCATGGACAGGAAGTGGAAGGAGATTGAGTTTGGCGCCTGAGTGCACGCCTTGTCTCCCACCATACATGGGTTCCTCTCACAGCGCCTGGAGACGGCGAAACATACAGAAAGGTTGGTGGTTACTTTATGGTATTTGTATTTGTTTTTCTGGCTCACAGAATACGTTCGTCCAACAACAATTATTGATTATTGAACAATCATTTCTCAGATATAATGGTTAAACTCAATCTCTTTAGGTTTTGGTCTGATGAAGACGTCACCCAGAGTTGTGGGAAATTATAACAGGAATTTTCACTGATATTTTAGAAACAAAACGATCAATGGATTAATCAAAGAAATCGCCTGTAGATTAATCAATAATGAAAATAATTGTTAATTGTGGCCAATGAGAGTCAGTTACTTTCTTTTATTTTCATATTCTATTTTCCACAGCCTTCTCCTAAAGTATTGGACAAGTTTTGGGGCTCAGGCGGTAGAGAGGGTTGGCCACTAACCGAGAGGTCAGTAGTTCGATTCCCGGCTCTTACAATCAGCATCTTTTAGTGTCTTTAAGTGAACAACATTTTTATTGTTATTCTCAAGCTGAAGACTCCACCTCCCATGGAGGATGTTTGTTTGCCCTCTCCTAGTCCCAAATGTCAAAGTGCTCTTTGTATTCAATCTGCACTTCGTGACTGTACGGGACATTTCTGAAGTTACAGCTTCTCCGGGAAGATGAACACTAAGACAACCCAGCATGTGGTAGAGATGCCCTCTGGAGAGTCTGTACTCCACAGCGCTGTCCTCTCCTTACTGAAAGACAGCATCGTGGTTCAGCTGTGGGAATAAATCAAAAGTCCGCGACCCAGATCCGGATAAGCGGGAGACGACGAGACGAGACGAGAGACACAACCACGTTTAGTTCCCGGCCGCTGCCTCTCGCCCAATCAGCTGATCACCTGACTGGAGCCTGAAGACCCCACAGGGCGTCTGAAGCCAAACCTCAGTCTGACTCGCAGCCCAGTCACAGTTAGTGGAGGGAAGCTAAGTATCGGGTGGAGAAAGGAAGTGGGGAAACTCATTGTTTTCAAATCTCTCTCCATCTCTGTCATTTGCTTTTTATCTTGAGTCTTTATTATGAGTCTTTGTCTTTTGAGGTGAGAGGTTTATGGTTTGCATTCCTCTAGTCGCTTTGTTTACAGCTTCATTGTCCTCTTCAGATGTCATTTCCCTGTAGTTTATTGTAAGTTATAGATGCAGTTGGTTTGTTAGCTGCTTGCTAATTGGCTCACAGTGTCTTCCAGGTCAGAGAGCAACTCTGTGTTTTCGATCATCAACTGTCTAAAGGTCATTTGGGAAATATCCAACGGTGGTAATGGTAATTGAAGATGGCAATGTAAAGTGTGATGCTTCAATAAGAACTTTTAGCCACAAAGAGGAAGATCGCTCCACGGATTGGCAGCGTCAGTCAGTCCACCTATCAGATGCCTCAGAAAGGCTGTACACCCAAAATTCATATTAAATCCTGAAGGTTTTATAGAGATGTCACAGGGTAGTATGCAGCGTTCAGGTAAACACGACCTTCCAGAATTTCCTCCATAGAAGGAACCACGTCTAAAAAAGCCTCTGACAAAGAAAGAGAACCAACCTGAGCACAGGTGGACTGACCATGAGGACTACTGGCTCAAGTCCAAGTCAGCCAGTGGACTGTCAAAACATCTGTTAAGTTCTTAACATGTTTACCGGCTCCGTCAGTGTCATTACTGGCTCAGTGAGTGTCATTACCGGCTCCATCAGAGTCATTACTGGCTCTGTGAGTGTCATAACTGGCTCCATCAGTGTCATTATTGGCTCCGTCAGTGTCATTTCTGCAGCTGGTCCCAGCAGCCTTGGATAAGTCCAAGGCTGAATTTAGTGAGATGGAGAGAACTCAGAACGGGCTTTTCTTCTCCTCCTAAGTGACTTGATGGTTCATATTGTTACATGTCTGTTTTCATTAGCGACAGCTACAGTAGCATGATAACATTAACTAACTTGCTATTATCAATATAAATGTGTTTGGCAGATATTGTTATAGCTGGCTAACTGTCAGCATTGCTGTGGAACATACAACAAAGCGTTTGTCTCGGTCTGAGATGCTGATAGTCTAGTGCGACATCTAGTGGCCGTGGTGATCGTTTACAAAACCTTTAGACTGAGCCATCGGACTGATGTGGTGCGGAGCTATAATGGCGCTGCAGTGATGGAACAAACAGGACTGTGATGGAAAAGGTCAGAAAGACACGAACAGCTCAGAGTAAAGCTAAAAGAAAGAGGATCTGATCATGGAGGATGATCTTACATCGGTGACGTCTTGATGTACGTGGCGTTTTTCATGTGAGGACACTTCACTGCCACACACTGGAAACCTCCGAAGGTGTTCACACACACCTGGTGCGCTGTGCAGTTGTGCATCCGGTTTTCACACTCATCGACGTCTGGACCAAGAAGAGCAGAGGGGAGAGAATTACAACCACAACTGACTAATGACTGACAGGATGTCCCGCGACCTCTGACCTGTGCAGCTGCGGCCGTCCATGGCGAGGTCGTACCCCGCTGGACAGAAGCAGTGGAAGCTGCCGGGAGTGTTGACGCACTGATGGACGCAGAGGCGGCCGGGCTGACCGAGAGGAAACAAGTGGCACTCATCGATATCTGAAACACAGACCGGAGCGTAAGCAGCCGAAGAACACATCACGTATTCGTAAGTAAATATTTGTTACCTGTGCAGATGTTGTTGTCGCGGCCTGAGATGGTGAAACCCACGTCACAGGTGCAGCGGGTGGAGCCCAGGAAGTGAGTGCAGTGAGACGGTCGGACGGAGGAGGTGGGGGAGGAAGATGGCAGAACAGCAGAGGCGGGGAGGGATGAAGAGGAAGAGGAAGAGGAGGGAGCAGCGGGAGAGAAGGCGGCCAGGGAGTTACCGGTGCTGTTGAAGCCTGAAAACAAAAAAGTGAAACGAGATTTCAGAGGAAAAATAACAAACGCAACAAACCCAGAACCAGCAGCTGAGTCAGCTGTTTGACTCACGTCTGCACATTGGCTGCTGCCCGCTCCACTTCAGGGACTCCAGACACACTCGGGTCTGTGGGCCAATCAGCTCGTAGCCCGGTTTGCACAGGAAGTGAACCTCGTGTCCAACGCCAAACACCCGGCCCAGTCTGCGGCCGTGAGTGGGGAGCTCTGGTTTGGGGCAGGACGCTGGAGGCAGATAAAGACACAATCATTTACCTTCTATTCATGTTCATGTTCAGTGCTGCCACTGACGGCCAGACAACAAACTGCAGCTGTTCGCCCACTCGTGTTTCTTTACACCTGACATCGACTTTCTGCCCCTCACAGGTCACTGAAATATCATGTCCACCTCCTCTACGCCATTCACTCAGCGTCATTTCTCACCTCTCTTCTTGAAGATGGCCACGGTGCTGTTGTGCAGAGCGCTGATCTTTTTCCTGAGGGAGCGGAGGCCCTGCTGGTACGACGCCTCGTGGACCGCCAACATCTTCTCCACCTGTCGCAGCGAGTTCAGCAGGTCGGGGGTGGACGGACACTCCTGTGGACGGGATGAGGACGGGTTAGACTGACGCTGGAAGTAGGTCCTTATATTTTTTTAAGTGTTTACAAATTGTAAAAGGTCAAAGACCAAAGAAGTAAAGAGAGGGAGAAAAAATGTATCCATTGTTGATATAAAACCATCAATATGTGCAGCTTTAAAGGTGAGGAATCATCAAAACCACAGATTTCGCAAAAGTAAAGGCTAAAGAATCTTAATATGAACTACAATAACACAAGTTCATAGTTCCTGCACCAGACGACTACCTTCAGTTCGTCTCCAGTCTGCTGTGTGTCTCAGGTGTGAGGTCTATACATAGAGGTGAGGTTTTCTGAGCTGCAGTAACATCTGGGTGAAAAGTGGCCCTGAGCCTGAAACTGACCTCCACTGACGGCTGAAACACCACGCTCAATGTAACGTTACACAACGTAATGTAACGCAACGTAACATAACGCAACGCGACGTAACGTAACATAGCGTAACACAATGTAACGTCACGTCACTTAACAACGCAACGCAACGCAGCAGAATTAACCTGTGGGTCTGTGGTTGGCGTTTGGAGGCGTCTACATGTGGTTTGTCTCTGAGCCAGTGGTGGATGTGAAGGAGGTGAACTCCAGTTCAACATGTTGGAGAGATGATCATATTAGAGCAAGAGAAATGGTTTTTAATCCACAAAAGACACTAAAACAAAATGTAAAAAGTTGCTTCCATAATTATATCTAAATAAATGAAAATATAACCATAGTTTTATTTGTAATTTTGGCTCCGATTTCACTGCACACAGAAACATGGACTGATAATTATGACAATATCTACAGACAATGTGCTTTAATGAAATAAAGTGAAACAATGTGGAAATGGAGGCGACCAAAATAAAACCAAAAATCTTATCAAAACTTTCAACAACTCTGCATTCAAAATGTTCCAGCTGTTTTCAGATTAATTTACCACAAAATGTCAATGTTTCTATGTAAAAAAACAAAAATCTTCTGTCTCTATGAAAAAAACCCCAAAAAACTCTTAATAATTTCCAAGTATATTTCATGATTCTTATAATGTTTTATCTTATTATTATTAATATTACAATTATTGGTATAAACCAGCTTTGCCTGATTTGATCAGTGTGAAAAACAAACAAACTTTATTTCCAGAAAATCCTGACACGTCTTCACTGATGATGTTTTTTTACTTACTGCTGACTGACTGCGCATCAGGTAAAACTTTATTTAAAAAGACATTTTGATTTCAACAGACCCCCTGGTTAGATAGATGTGGGTCAAATTAAAAATGTTCTTTAAACTTTTATACATAATGTTTTATTTTTATTGTGATTTTATATGTGTGTTGTGTTTTTGATAAATACAAATCAGGTTTTCTTTATTTCTGTCATCTACAAGCTGCTTGTCTTCCTTTTATCATTATTAGGAAATTGATCAATTATATTTCCTGTCCAGTTCATCTCAGTTAATAAATAATAAATAAACAATTAAATTAAATTAGATTAAATTAGACATTCAACGGATTAAGATTTCACAACGACAGCGAACACCAACTTTCCTGTATGAAGACTCAGTCTCAGTAGAAACACAGTGGACTCCTGAAACTGGAATAAACCACTAAATAAACATGGTTGGTTCCTACCTGGTCACCTGGACTCACCTGAGCAGAAGAAAAGCACATGTGATGAAGACTCAGCATCAACATCAGCGCCCCAGCAGCCTTCATCATCCTGCACAAAACCTCCATCCTCATCCTGGGAAACCTGCTCCGCGTCTTCAGCTCCTCCAACACTGAATCCTCTCCTCTCTCGCTCTTTCTTTTCGAGGGCACTTGCCAAATTTCACTCACTCAACAGCCTCCCACCTCCACCTCCCCCCCCCACCTCTCCTCCATGTCACATATTTTGGAGGCGGGAGGAGGAGAGCAGCTCCCACATCTGGAACACGCTTTCACTAATTCTGACCCATCAGCAGAGCCAGAATTAGACTCTCAAATTATAAGGGGAGTCAGCTGGCGGTCTTTTTAATCATCATCTGCACAACAAAGCAGCTTCACTTCAGACTCGCTCTCCGGCTCAAAATATTCTGCTCCAATTACAGCAAATATAAACTCCCACTTTTTTTTTTCTGAAACCCTAAACCTGCTGTCTTCCAGGATAATGTTGTGTGGCTCCTAAATGACAGGGCAGCCGATAGCCCCGCCTGGATTACCCCCCCGCCAGAAAAAGATCCTGGAAGAAATGCAAGACAGGACCCTTAACAGCTCCCTGCAGCTGCTGCAAGTCCAAACTTTAACTCAAAGTCATATATAAGGCATGATAATGGCAGCGTGTGAACATACACTATAATCTCCTATAAGACTGTTCCAGCGCTCCGACACACGAATCCGAAGTTTGGTGCCTAAAAAGATCAGATTTCAACAAGGCCTTGAAAGTCATTGAAGACTCCTTGAATTATATCCTATATATTATATATATTACCTCTTTAAACTGTCAAATCTCTGCCTAATGTTGATTTGAGATGTTTTTATTTATACGCCTACTTTTCTTTTATTTGGTTGTACTTTTTTCTTGTAAAGCACTTTGTAACTTTGCTATATAAATAAAGTTATTATTATTGTTGTTGAGTTAGAAGTCCTGTAATCCCTGCTAACAGTAACCACGTGTTATATCTTTAAAAGACACCACTGAGTACTCGGTCGCAATCCTGCTATAGGAACGTTCACATTGTCCTTGAAAGTCCTGGAAAAATTGTGCTTTGGATGGCGACAAAAGTCTTTATCACTGTGTAAATTTTATCAAGCAATTCTGTGAAAGTCATTAAAAAGTCCTTAAACTTAATGTTCAGTTCAGTGTGAGAGTTTTCACTTTCTTCAAAGTTGTTGACAGTTTGTGTATTTAAGCAAAAAATAAAGCTAATTAAAATTTCAGAATCATAACGACGTCCCATTCAGTACTGGAGGACTGAAGGCAATAGTGAATATAAAAAACTTTCCACGGTTTTAAAACATAAAAAGTTATTTCGGTGTGTGACCTGTTGTGACCCCGCCCCTCAAAGAAAGGGATTTGAGACTCGTTTGGAATCTGAATCGTTAAAATCTAAATGATGAGCAACGCAGCACTGACGGCAAAACTGAAATACGTGTTAAAAGTTTCATTTAAAAATTGAAAATCGTTTTAAAAGTTTTAATTTTGATCAATAGGTGAATCAGAAGAATGAGACTATCGATCTATAGACTGTGGAAGAACTCAGACACTGATGATCTGTAGTGACATGAACCACGTGTTAGAAATACAAAAAAATGTTCCTTCATTTGTAAGAAATTAATTAAATAAAACTAATTAATTAAAACGGATTTCCATAAATGTATAACACAGTAATATTCACAGGTGATTGTAAGTGTGTTATTCTGCAGTAAGAAGCTAGTGCAGTGTGGCGGACGTCCACCAGGGGGGGCTTCAGTCTTTCATTTGAACCTGTGTGTCTTTATCTGTTGCCTGTTTCCAAACCTGCAGCTGATGATTGAGTCAGAATCAGAAATCCAAAGAGAAATGTTTCCTCACATGTGGCTGAGCTGCGTTCTGGAAAATGATTATTTATGTTGGTGAAGTCACTAATTAGAAGCTGGAGCTGTGATTCCTGAGAAACCACATGAGGGATCAGAGCCGCGAGAACAAAGCTGGTTCACTCAAGTTTGTCTTTTCAGACACGAAGAGAAACTGACGACAGACAAACACGAGTTGGTTCTGAAGTTAATGTTTGTTTGTGTTGTTTTCCTGTTGCTTATGTAGAAATATCAAACTATAATTGAACGGTATTCCTTCATGAGAAAACGCCCTGTCGTCTTCTGATAGATGCAGCTGCTATTTATATCCTTTATACTTAAATAAAAGGACAACAATATAAAATTACTTCATTACAAGTAACAGTCCTACATTCAAAATCTTTCAAAATAAAAATAGATGTAACACTCAAAGTATAAAAAATAAAAGTACATTATGAAATGTCTCCATTACAAGTAACAGTCCTACATTCAAAATGTTTCAAAATAAAAAGGAGAAGTAACATGTAAAATACAAAAGTACTAAATGCAGAAAAGTGTTATACTATCATTTATTATATCACTGGATAATCATCAATGATTCATCTGTGTGTGGAAGCAGAACTTTCCTGCTGTAGTTGGTCGAGGTGAATCAAGTTTAAACAACTGTATGTTAATCCGTAAACTCCCGTGTAACTGTTGATAAATGTAGTGAAGTAAAAATTGCCAAAGTACAAGTAATAAAGTTGCATGAAAATGAAAATACTCAAGTGAAGTACAAGCACATTATTCCACCACTAAATAGATGGATTCAGTATTAAGTAAGTCTTTTTTATACCCAAATGCATTTTTAGTTTATTTCTATACTATTTTTTACATTAGAAAACTGAAATATATAAATAAATATATATATATATGTATTATATTAATACATATATATATAAACATATTTACAACCATGAGGGTGTCAGAGTATTGGAAACACCTCTGAATATAACTACAACAACACCACCACAAACTCTGATCACAGTGCTAAAATAATTCATTATAAATGAATGAACACCTCTAAGACATTGTTAACAAAACCTTGAACATAGAGGTGCTATAAAGGTCGGCTTAAAGGTGTACCTAATAAAGAAGATAAGATACCAAAAACACGCGTAAGGTGTCAAATATAGTGGGTACAACCAATGATAAATAAATAACAAAATACATGCAAACACTAAAATCCTGGAGAAGGAGGAACAGAATTTGTGAACCAGGCTTTTAAGACTCCCCCTGCAGTCTGATGGATGAACCCTCATTGAAATGCATGCTGGGAGGCTGTTTGGCAGCTGCTGACAGAGGTTAACTCCAAGATAAATAAAGGAGCTCAGGAGACGCTCCGGCGCTCCTCATCATCATATCTTAATTAGATAGGACAGCTTTAATTAAAATTAAATCATTTTAATGGATTTTGCAATTAAAACGGAGTTAGATGACGGCCAGTTGGCCGGGCCGACAGTGTCTTCCCTCCCCCTGACCGAGGTCGAATCATAAACACTGATCAAACTTAAACTTGGCATTTATCAGCTGATCAACGCTGCTTAAAGGTCCATATAGTCTAAAAGTAGATGTCCATGTGTTGTTTGATTATAAAACAGATTTTTTTTTATTTTGTTTTGTTTTTTTCTCAACAGATCATCACACACACCTTTTTACCTTCTTGTGGGAGGAGCCTCATTAAAGGTCCCATATTATATCTGTATATTGTATCTAAAGGTCTCTGTCCATGTGTAGTGTGATTATAGATCAGGTCTAGGTTCTATATTAATACTGTGAAAGTATCAAAGCCTCAGTCCACAGAGAAATGCACACAGCCTGTATTCAGAAACTGAGCCTTAAAACCAGCCGTCAGGACTTCTGGAACTTTGTGATGTCACAACGAAGCAGTCACGCCCCATATTTTACTCTTCTTCTGTGTTTTATTTTGAAGTGTTGATCCATCAGAAGATATAAAAACCATCTCAGTGTAGTTTTACATCTCCTCTCTCAGGCTTCTCTCTGGAGCTCTAGTAACAACAGGTCGGTGAGCCAATCAGAAGAGAGGAGGCTCTGAGCCTCTCTTCTGATTGGCTGACTGTTTTCAGAGTGATGCAATAAAAATATAGCAGATTTCAGGTAAAAACACTCAGAGAAACCAAATCCTGCAAGGTTTGGATGGTGGGTCCTGGTGGGCGGGGCTTGGTGACTGCTTTGTTGTGACATCACAAAGTTCCAGAAGTCCTGACGGCTGGTTTTAAGGCTCAGTTTCTGAATACAGGCTGTGTGCATTTCTCTGTGGACTGAGGCTTTGATACTTTCACAGTATTAATACAGAACCTAGACCTGATCTATAATCACACTACACATGGACAGAGACCTTTACACTGGAAGGAGCTTTAATATTGTGAAAGTCAATCAGCATTATATATTATTATAATATTAACTGGCATAAGGATACAAAGTCTTTCCTTACTAGACTCATGTTCCGGTTGAGAAGGGAAGAGTAATTCAGAGATGTAATCTGGGGCCTGTACATGCAAAGGTTTAATGAGCAGGCTCTTAAAATCAATTCTAAAACCAACTGGCTGCCAATGTGAAGACTTAATTTTCCTGCTCGTTGTTAGAAATCTGTCCGCTGCGTTTCTGTGAACTGATTTCAGATTTATGCCAGCTCAGAGGTCGTTACAGCTGTCTAATGATGAGGAAGTGAAGGTGTGCATGATGGGTAAAACTCAGGGGATGTGTAGTCGAGGCCACAGTCGAACATCGCAGCGAGGTTTCTCACAGAAGGTCTGAGATATTGGCAGTGTGGCCGGGGCCGATGATGGGAGTTTAGCTGGAGGACAGTTTCCCTCCTCCACCAGGGGGCGTGGCATCTCCGCAGGTCAAACACAATGGACTTCCTGTCTCATATCAAGACTGAAGGAGTCAAACGACAGAGCATCTTCATCCGAAAAGTTTCAGTGGAGTGTTACCTGAATGTGTCGTCACCTGTCTCCCCTCCTCACTCTCTTTCTCTCTCTCACTCACTTACTATACATGCTCACTCACCCGTGCTCCCCCCCCCTCTCCTGCAGATAAATGAACCAGTCCCCTCCCCCACCCCCCCTCTTCTCCTCTCCACCCCTCTCAGATGGTACAACCCGCTGCCATACTCAGCGGTCACCTCTCTCTCTCTCTCTCTCTCTCTCTGTTGGTAAGCAAGGATTCAGTCTCTCACACTCTCACACAGTCGTCAGGTTTTATTTCTCTCTTCCTCCTCCTCCTCCTCCTCTTCTTCTTCTCTTGTTATGACTCATTTCAGGAGTGACTGCCACCGAGACAGACGTGAGTACCACACACACACATGCGCACACACACACACACACACACACACACACACACAGTGTAATATCGGTGTGATTTGAGAGACGTGAGGACACATGTGGTGATGTTGCTGTGTGACTGTGGCGATCAGGTGTGTGTGAGTTCATGTGACAGATCATGTGAGGAAACAACTCGTTGAAGCAGCTTTCAGATGTGGACTGTGATGCAGTTGAATAAGAGGAGGATGTTCTCAGTAAAACATTGTGTGGCGTGTGTGTGTGTCTGCTTTTGGATTTCTGTCTTTGTGTGAAGTTTTTACAGTGAGGACATTTTTAGAAAGTGAGCACTAGAATATTGATGTTTATGTTTTTATATGAAGTATAAAAAAACGAATCTCACATAAATAGAGAATGTGCACAAAATATTTTTGTCAGAGATCCTTTAAAGGTCTGTACAGTCTAAATGTCTCTGTCCATGTGTAGTGTGATTATAGATCAGCTCTAGTTTCTATATTAATACTGTGAAAGTATCAAAGCCTCAGTCCACAGAGAAATGCACACAGCCTGTATTCAGAAACTGAGCCTTAAAACCAGCCGTCAGGACTTCTGGAACTTTGTGATGTCACAACAAAGCAGTCACCAAGCCCCGCCCACCTGGACCCACCATCCAAACCTTGCAGGATTTGGTTTCTCTGAGTGTTTTTACCTGAAATCTGCTATATTTTTATTGGATCACTCAGAAAACAGTCAGCCAATCAGAAGAGAGGCTCAGAGCCTCCTCTCTTCTGATTGGCTCACCGACCTGTTGTTACTAGAGCTCCAGAGAGAAGCCTGAGAGAGGAGATGTAAAACTACACTGAGATGGTTTTTGGTTCTTAAAACCACAAATATATCTTCTTATGGATCAACACTTCAAAATAAAACACAGAAGAAGAAAATATGGGGCTTGGTGACTGCTTTGTTGTGACATCACAAAGTTCCAGAAGTCCTGACGGCTGGTTTTAAGGCTCAGTTTCTGAATACAGGCTGTGTGCATTTCTCTGTGGACTGAGGCTTTGATACTTTCACAGTATTAATATAGAAGCTAGACCTGATCTATAATCACACTACACATGGACACAGACCTTTACACTGTACAGACCTTTAATGAGGCTCCCCTATAAGAAGATAAAATCGTGTGTTTGTGCTGATCTGTTGTAAAAAAAACAAACAAAAAAAAAACACTCCCATTGAACACTTGATGAAAACACAGCTCACCATGATAGCGATCAGTATCCACTTCAGCCTCCGCACTAATCACTGGGAGTCAAGTTCAAGGTTCTGTTTATTCATCCGTAAAATCGTTGAAATGTCAGCGCTCACATCCCTCGCTGTTTGCGGTCACAGATGAAAAATATCATCAGTGTTAAGTTTTCTAAAAACTGGCCTGAACATTTTAACAGAGGCTGCGATCACCGGCGTGTGAAGAAGTGACCCCGGAACATTTAACAATATATTATTTTACTGCTGTGGGAATGAATGCAGCTGGGAAGTAAATCTGACAGGTGACTCCTGTAGCTGTTGGCTGAATGTAATGTGTTTAGGTTTATTGAGCTCACATGTCAAGCTCAATTAACTCGCTCATTTACTCCCAAAATGCATCAGAAGTCACGGCGCTGAGCACTTTGCATCAGTGATGATTATGTGTTGAACAACGCAGCCGCAAACAGACAGTCCAGCCTCTGAAATGAGCTGCGAGACGCATTTCCTTCCTCCAGTCTCATGACTCCTGATTAGTGGTGTCTGATAGAGAAGGGGAAACTTAAAGAGACAGTTTTCTGTACTGAAACAAAAAAAATTGTCTTTATTTTGACTTTAGCTGGTTTTATTTTTCTCATGAAAACGTCCACATCTGGAATCTGAGGAAGTCAGTGAAGGTGTCACGACTGGTGAAAATGGGTATTCAAGGTTTGCACCTGAGGTCGCAGTCAGGCACATTCAAAGGGCCAAACTCAGCCGATCCCTAAATGCGACGAGCACTTTGCATCACCAGTGACGACGGGAAAAACAAGGCAGCTGTAAACACATCATTCACCCTCTGAAACGAGCTGTGAGACACATTAAAAGCCTCATGTGAGAATTCAAAACAACTTCACTTGTTGTGAAGAGAGTCCAAAGAAGCAAACCACTGAGGAAGCAGCATAAATAAGTCCTGCGTAACAGCAGTGTTTAAATAACTCTCATCATTTAATGACATCGCTGAAATCGAAAAGATCATTCATGCCTCACGTTTAAGAGAGTGAGACCGAGGAGTTCAAGAGGCTGACGCAGGTTTATCTGTGTCCTGAGGGGAGGAGGCTGTGTTGGTCGTGTATTTGAGAATCACTCGTATGAAAAGATTTGCTCTTAAGTGACACATACAAGTGATTTACGAGAAAAAATTCTGGTACACTGTCGCACAGGTCATGTACATGTCCACCTTTCTTCACTGGGAAATTTACAGCTCCTCCAGTGTAAAGGTCTGTGTCCATGTGTAGTGTGATTATAGATCAGCTCTAGCTTCTATATTAATACTGTGAAAGTATCAAAGCCTCAGTCCACAGAGAAATGCACACAGCCTGTATTCAGAAACTGAGCCTTAAAACCAGCCGTCAGGACTTCTGGAACTTTGTGATGTCACAACAAAGCAGTCACCAAGCCCCGCCCACCTGGACCCACCATCCAAACCTTGCAGGATTTGGTTTCTCTGAGTGTTTTTACCTGAAATCTGCTATATTTTTATTGGATCACTCAGAAAACAGTCAGCCAATCAGAAGAGAGGCTCTGAGCCTCCTCTCTTCTGATTGGCTCACCAACCTGTTGTTACTAGAGCTCCAGAGAGAAGCCTGAGAGAGGAGATGTAAAACTACACTGAGATGGTTTTTGGTTCTTAAAACCACAAATATATCTTCTTATGGATCAACACTTCAAATAAAACACAGAAGGAGAGGAAAATATGGGGCGTGACTGCTTTGTTGTGACATCACAAAGTTCCAGAAGTCCTGACGGCTGGTTTTAAGGCTCAGTTTCTGAATACAGGCTGTGTGCATTTCTCTGTGGACTGAGGCTTTGATACTTTCACAGTATTAATATAGAAGCTAGACCTGATCTATAATCACACTACACATGGATATATACCTTTAGATATAATATGGGACCTTTAATAAGGCGTTTAATAAGAACGTAAAAAGCTGTGTGTGTTGATCTGCTGTAAAAAACACAAAACAAAAAAAAAAAAACAAAAGAGAGAGAGGAGATGTAAAACTAAACTGAGATTGTTTTTGGTTCTTAAAACCACATATATGCTGAAATTAAATAATAAACTCAGTTAATGAAAAATTAATATCCTGTGCAGCATATTATCCATCATCATCATCACGGCTTGTCATTTTGCTGAGAGGTGTTTATCATTTTTAACAGCATATTTTGGGGCAGCAATGTCAGTAGTTGTTGATAAATTCTCCCCCATCCTCTCACTGCCTCAGGGTCTTTAGGGTCTCCATCCAGTATCATCCTCCATTATAACACCTGACAGTGTAACATCACTCACTATAATCCATGAACGTCATGTCAGCTTCCTGTCAGATCAGTTCCTCTGTCTGTCACAGAGCAGCGCTGCTCCGACGACACGTCGTCGGCAGCTGGAGGCTGTCATTAATGTTTTGTTTCAGGTCCACTCGTAGCCTTAAATGGTCATTTAAGGCACGTAGATTATTCTAATGATGGAATCACATGAATGCGTCAGGTAGTTTTAGCTCAGCAGGTAGAACTGGTCACTGTCGCCCTGAATCTCAAATTGCCCCTGGTTGTCAGGGCAGCACCTCGCGTGGTAGCTCGCCGACATCAGGGTGTGAATGAGAGGTCAATTGTAACGTGCTCTGGATGAAAACAGATAGAAATGTCATTAGTTCTGCAGGTGTTTGACAAGTGGCTGAAACATGAAACATCAACACTGAAGTACCAAGAGCTCCAGTTCCTCTAATGACCACCAGAGTCTGGCTCCAACCCATGTTTAACACAACACTTAAATATCCCGGCACTAGCAGAAATACCGTATCAAGTCCTAAAAGAAGCTACTGTAAAAGAGGAGGTGTGTTGTGTTTTCACTGATGGTTTTAGTTTTAGTTTGGAAACACAGTAAAGTCGGGATATGTTCTAGAGAGAGCTGCCACTCTGATCCGACTCTGATCCCACAGACTGAAATGTGACAGAAAACGTCTCTGTCGGTTTGTTTTTGAACTCCTTTGTGCCGACTCTTCATTTCCTCTGCGCGATGACAACTCTGAAACTTATCTCTGAACTCTACAGACACAGATCTGGCAGAGGCGGACGCAGCCTCCCCATCACCGCACAGCAAACAGACATTCCCCGACAAACACTGAAAGACAAACAGAGATGGACGGACTGAGGTGGTCGCCGTGGCCTCATCCAAACGGCTGCAGCCGGCCTCCGCTCTGGGTTTCCTGCCAAACTTTGAATAGCCTGTCCCTGAAAACCAATAACCATGAGGGTGTGAAATTGTCCTGTCATCACTCTCTTGCCTTCCCTCCTCTCTCATTTCGCCCTTCTTTTACTTCTCCATCGTTCCCCACCCCCCTGTAAAGCCGACGTGTCGCCCAAACAATGCGAAGCAATAAGCAAGTAAATGGCTGTAATCACTCAGTCGATGATGCACAATCACCCGTTCAGCACGCCGTGGGTGTCGCGGCGACCTGGCAGCGTTATCGATCTCTGGTGGAGGGAACGATTAAAGGCACCCCGGCAGTTAACAGATGGTGAGTGACGGCGCTCATAAACCTCGCACTAAAAGACTAATGTCCTACAAGCTGCAGCCGGCGTGGCAGCCATAAACAACCCTGCTGCCAACTGTCAGCGCTGCGGTAGGGGAGAGGAGGATGATGGGAGGCGAAGGGCCAGCTGCCTCCTCGCCGAACACGGTCTAACACGCAGGGGGTCCTCGGAGCCGAGCGCCGGGCGCTGATGGAGGTCATGGAGAGACAGACTGCTCTCAGCTTTCAATTACAAAATCCAAATGGAGGCTGAACGGTCGGAGTCAGACTGAAGAGATGGAGAAAACCAGGACGGGTTTTATTCATTCGTTTTTTGTGTGGCCACAGTGACGGTACTTTATGAACTCTGTAAACACAAATCTCATAAAGTCTTTGCTTTGTAATCACAAGAAAATAATTCTGTGGTGGGACTCTGTCAGTCAGTCCACCACTTTAGCCCCAGGAGGAAATATCTCAACAGTTATTGATCCATTGCCATGAAATTTGGACCAGATGTTCATGGCTCCCAGAAGCTAAATCCTACGGACTTTGATGAAGTGCGCACGGTGAACATTAGACCTGCTAACCATCTGCATGTTAGCATTTAGCTCAAAGCGCAGATGTGCTTAATTACAGCTCAGCAGAGTTGCTAGCAGGGCTGGAAACTCTAAGTCTTGTCACTTTATTGTTCGAAACCAAGCATCAACCTCCGAGGCTGAAACATGAAGCATCAACTCTGAAGAACCAGAAGCTGCAGTTCCTCTAACGACCACTAGAGTCTGGCTCCAACAGTGAGTCAGTCCCCATAGACTCCCATGTTAAAATGTCCAACTTTACAGCAGAAATAAACATGTTTACAGCCTGGTACAAAAACTGTTTTGGTCTCTAGAGCTAATTTCCTCTTTCATGACACCTGTTTATATAACTCACTTAGATCTAACATCATACATCACCCTCCCTCTGTTTGTTTTTATTCCTCCATGACGGCGACAGTCAGAGCAGCCATATTGTTTTCAGGGTGTCTGTCCTTCTGTCCCATTCTCCTGGACACGATATCTCAGAGACGCCTCGATCGAATTTCTTCAAATTTGGCACAAACATTCATTAGGACTCAAGGATGAACTGATTAGATTTTGGCGGTCAAGGGGGTCAAAGGTCAAGGTCATGGTGACCTCACAAAACATGATTTTGGCCTTGTGAATGCAATATCTCGAGAACTCCTCATGAAATCCTTTCAGATTTGGCACAAATCTCCACTTGGACTCAAAGATGATCTGATTAGATTTTGGCAGTTAAAGGTCAAGGTCACGGTGACCTCACAAAACACTTGATAGTCATTACTTCACACAGCAATTATGACAAACTTTGCAAACAACAAAGACAACTGTCACACACCATGAGGCCGGGAACATACTGGCTGTGTGACGCGTACGTGTCACAGTTCGGCATCTAGCCTTTTTTTTTGTGTGACATGTCTCCCAGCAAAAATAGACAGAGAAAAGACCAAGCTTGATGTATAGTGACATCACAACCAGCAATATATATATATATATATATAATATTTTATTTATATATATATATATATATTTATTTATATAATAGTATATATATATATATATATAAAACTGATACCTTCCACTATCGTTATCTCTGTCTAGGCTTCGTACAATCTACCTTTCCACAATATGGGACCTTTAACCTCGTCTGTCAGAGGTTGGAGGAGGTGCACCGGCTGTTTGGGGCTGATAAACACAGACTACACAAGTACAACAGTTCACAGTGTTTTCTAAAATTAATCTCAGAGCTCAAATTCTGCTCATGTCCTGAAGAAGTTTCTGTCTCTCTCAGGCTGATAGACAGGCAGTGAAGCAACGTGAATGTGAGAGAAAATTAACTCTAGTCTGACAGATGGAGGCCAATTAGACTCTCAGGCCGCTCGTTAAGGTGGCCGGCTGAGCCCGCTGGGCCTGTGTGTGTGTGTGTGTGTGTGTGTGTGTGTGTGGGTGGTGTGTGTGTGTGTGTGTGTGTGTGTGTGTGTGTGTGTGTGTGTGTGTGTGTGTGTGTGTGTGTGTGTGTGTGTGTGTGTGTGTGTGTGAGCCTGCAGCGGGGTCAGACTGTGTTACCTGTCCACCTTCATCGCTGTCTCCCTCAGGCCAAGGCGGTGAGACACCAGGCGACAGCGTCTAACCTGATCTGATGGTTTGTTTTTCAGACGCCGGGATGAACGGCGAGCAGAGAGCCAGCCGCACCACGACGGCCAAGAGAGGAAGCGGCGCCTCCTACAGGTGAGAGTGCGATCATTCTGCTCTAAGTGCGTTTTCACACCTACAGCTCGTTTGCTCCGCTCCGGTTCATGAGTTTGTAAACCTGCAGGTTCGGTTTGTTTTCACACAGAGAAAAATTCAAGTGAACCAAAAATGCATCATTACGAACCAGGTGAGAGCGTTCTCTCTTCTGATTGGTTAGATTGTCTGGAACAGGAATGTAAACACAGGAAGAAGGTTACAGAAACCGCTGAGCTCGAATCGCTCCAGAGTTAGTCTGCGACCGAACCGAGACCGCCTCCCCCACAGGATCACAGTGTGATCGTTTTGGTCCACACCTGTGTGGGATTACTGTTTTCACACCTGCACAGACAAATCGTATGAAGTGGGAAAACCGGAGTAAAAAGTGCAGGTGTGAAAACACCCTCAGACGCCTGCGCCGTCCTCCCTCTCCGGCTGCAGATTCGTGGCTCTGTGTGTTTATATTGTGAAGCTCTGCGGCGTTCATTCAACAATAGCACTTCCTGTAGAGTCTCTCTCCTGTTGGTCGCAGCCCACACAGTTCATGCACCCGAAGGCTTCAGTTTTGCTCGATGAAAACAGGTCCTTGGTATTTTAGTTGCTGAAAACACATTTGCAGCGGAAACAGTGGAACTATTCATAGTGGCAGCAGTGTTGTCTCTGTGGTTCTGCTGTTGCTGTTTGTGTGACGCTGACAGTGAGTGATGGTCCAGCTGTCCCCGGTTTTAACCTCATTCTCTGTTTACATGGAAACTAAAGCCAAACTGTCCTCCAAATCCCACCGCCGCCCGCCGCTGGACGGATTAAACCTGGGACGGACACGACTCTGCGCCGGCCAGAGCTGGGATTTACAGCCAGGCGGCCGCACAGCCGGCTCTGCTGGGACCGCGAGGCTCTGTGTGCGGAGAGAACCGGTGGAAACGGTTCACTCCTCATGGACCGACACTTTCACATAATTCACTGGCTGCAGCATCGGGACACAGCAGACTTTAAATACGCTTTAATTCTTTAGATCGCAACTGTTGTGAGAAACTGAGGTGAAGGGTCAGAGGTCACAGTCTGGACTGAGGATTTTAGAAATAATCTGCCATGTCCATTATCAGTGCAGCAACAATTCCAGAAAAATGAACTACCAGATTTACCAAATACTCTGTTATCTGATAATACCGGTCCACTGTGACTCTTTTCTTCTTCCTCAGTTTATGGACGCTGCAGGAAAATGTAATTCTGAGCTCTGAGGGAATCTCAAGCTCAGATCCACTGCAGAGCCTCTGTCAGGGAAGGAGACGGCAACAAATCCATCAGAAGACTAAAATCTGGAAAGATATTGAGATGGATGACGAGTAGCCACATTCTCACACGTCTCCAAAGCCAAAGCCAAAATATCCCGGATACGAGCGCCGCCATCTTGAGCTGTTGACGTCATTTAGAGCCAGAGTCAGCGCAGCTGTGAGGGAGTGGAGCCGAGGCATCGAGGTCCCACCCCCAATACATCCGCTCGATCCAATCACAAGTCGGTCACAGCTGTCAATCATGACGTTACACTCCCGTCTTATAGCATTAAACCTACGAAAACGATGGACACTTGAACAGAAAATGACAGAAAACATCTTTGGGAAAAATTTATTAACGTGTACTTTGATTTTTTTTTAGTTCGCTAACATGAAGGGGGCGGGGTTTATGACCTAAACTTGAGATGTTTTGGCTTCACTTTCAGGGAGCTTTGATGTTGTCCCTCCTTCACCGTTGTTATATACAGTCATTGATTTAAACTCACGTTAGATTCGACTTTGTGCCGCGTGAAACACGATGCGGGAGGTACATTTGTAAAAAATCACATAACGGCTCCCGGTGATTCTACTGCTGTTTTTGGAGACATTTTCATGACCTGGGATTCATTTGCTGCTTTTTAAGTTGTGGTTGGAAGGAACTCTGTACACAGAAACGTTCTTTGTCGGTATGTTGTTATCTTGTGTATACCTGTCCATCACTGTGACAGTCACTCAGACTTGTGAGTTGTTACTTACTCAGTCAAGGTGTGCATGTCTGAAAGTGTCTAAACTTACTTTCATCCACACACGCCTTACATCATCAGTGTGTGTGTGTGTGTGTGTTTTCTGTATTCTTGCATCTGAACACACCAGGTTGTGTTCCAGATGGGTTCGACCTCCTTCTCTGTCTCCTAATCAAAACGAACGACATCAAACCTGCTCGGAGCAGCTGAGAACTCGCCTGAGATAAAAACATACAGGAGCTGAGTGAGCGGCCGCCATTTATCAATGACAAGAGTCTTCACCAGCAACAAGGGAAGAAACTTCAAGTAACAAGGGAAAAGTTGTAACATAGACTGTCCCAACTTTCATCAAAGTCGGCTCTTTGTGGCCTTTCAAAGTTTACTCCAAGTGGAAAATAGTCTGTCAGAGTCAGCTGTTTCACCTGCACAGGTACAGCTGCCCTGTTCCTTTACAGAGGATCACTACTGAAGTGTGTTTTCTAGTTATTAGCACAGCTCACTGGCAGCACCAGGAGAGGCAAACCAGGAAAGTGCTTGTGCTCCCCAAGGGGAAAATGGGCCCCCGATGGCCCCTCAAACCTCCCATACAGACACCCCACAGTGCTGGCCTGCTGCCCCAAGTGGGGCCCCTAATGGGTGTTTACCAATTACCTGCATGTGAGGCGTTTAGGGGAGATCTGTAAATTGTAGCTTCAACTGATAGTCTCTGTGTGAGGCATTTAAAGGACATCTGTAATTTGTAGTGTCTGCCAATAGTCTGCATATGGGGCTTTTCGGGGACATCTGAACTAATTCTGCTGCAGGGATGTGTGGATCCCAAAATGCTTTGCAGAAAGAATCAGGAGACTTAAGAGCTTTCAAACTTTGTGTAATTTGTCAAGAAGAAGAGACCAAAAAAAAACACACCCACAGTAAAATAGTGCCACCAAGGCCAAGGTGTCCCATGTGTGCAGTCTGACCTCAGGTCTGTCAAAGCCTCAGCTCTTCATAATTCAGTTTATAAATTCAGTGTGTGATCTGTGTCTATTTCCCAGTATTTTACCACTTTCTGCTTCACTTACATCACATATTCATACATCACGTAATCTGTAGTCACTGTGATACCGTGACTAAAATTGGGCAAATATGTGGATACTGTGATATCATCATTTCCCCTTCGATTCTCTGTTCTGTGGCAGATTCCTCCGCAGCTCCGTCTCTCAGGCCGAAGCCCTCAGAGAGCCCCCGGTCGCCCCGTCCTGCATTTTAAATCACATCTCTCCCGGCAGATGTCCTTTCATGTCTTAAAGAGAAGCTTTTTAAAGCAGTCTGTGCAGCTCAGCGCTTCGGTCTGACTCTGAGCTTCAGAGACGGCGACTCCGGGGAGAGACTCTGAGCTCCGGTCTGAGGTGAAGGAAACAGAGCTGTGTGGGTGTGTGTTACGCTTTATCAGTACTTCACTGCACCGGTGCTGTGAAGCTAAACAGCGTTCAGAAAAACACTCTGTCCCCCCTGTAGCATCACTGAGACGGGCTCAAAGCTTCCTGAGACTCCACAAGATTTTAATTGTTTTGATCCTCGTTAATCAGACGAGATGATTAACTGCTAAGCTGTCTCTAGATGGCATGCTACACATTTTACTCTCACACCAGGGTTGGATAAGGACGATGAAGAATTGGGAGGGAAAAAAGACAAAAAACCCAAACATTTTGAAGTTGTGATGCGTCTCAAATTCTGCGTTAATTGTCTCTTACAGTGTCACAATACACTAAGAGATGATCCTAATCTGCCTCCTGATGCTCACCTCGGTTGGATCGGCTGTTTTTGTTCAGATTTTGAAATGTATGGGATCCCTTAGAGAAATAGTGAAATGAAAATAACAGTACTTTTACATTTTCCAAGTGTTCTTGTGGGACTCGTTAAATATGTGTTAAAACATTTTTATATTAAAATTACAGAAGGCTTGAAAGGCAAGTGATTTTTTTTTTTTTTTTGCCAGGATCATTTTTCAATTTTTTTTTCTGGGAAAGAAGGAAAAAAAAATGCCCTGAAGAAATGTTTTCACACATGTAAAAAGAAAGAAAAAAAAGTTTTCTTTGTGTAAAAAAAAAAAAGTTTTACTTTGTTAAAAGAAAAGATCCTTTCATGGCTTGTTTTCACAGATTTCACAGTTTTACAAAACTAAAATTTATAAAAATGATCCTGGCAAAAAAAAAAAAAAAATCACTTGTCATATCAGTTTGAGCAAGAGTCAAGACAACAAAGACAACAGACCTGATCCACCTTCACAAGTTGGACTGGAGCAGGAAGTGTACCAACTGTCAGGCAGCCGGAAGGAAGTAAACGGTAGAAATGTGGAGAGAAGTGCTGTGTTTTTGTTTTTGTTTTTTTATCTGTGGACAGTTTCCGACTGAAGGAATATAAACAATCGAGCAACAGACAGACTGTGCTCTTCTTCCTACCTCTTCAAAGGTACGGAGAGCACACAGTTACTGAAATATGAACTGAATGGCTAAATTGTGGATAATTTATCCAAGCTAACAAGGTATAGCATGTCGATGACAAAGCATGTACCGTATATCTCTGTGTGTGATGCTGCAAGGGTCGCCACCTTTTCTGTGAAGAAATAAGGAACAAATAAGGTCGCCAGCACTAAGGTCTCCGGTGACCAGGTTAACTGTCCCGTCTTGAAGAAATAACTGTACATGTTTTTTTGAAGCAGTCCTCCTTGAAGTGCCAGAAACACAGTAAAAATGTTTGAACAGTGGAGGGAACCATGGTGAAAATGAAGCAGATTTCTCCAGGCAGTTGAGAACAGTGTCTTTTCGGCATTGCTACAAAACTAAAGTAAACTCTTCATTTTAATTAGTTGTGTGATTGCCATGTTGGGGGTGTCCCGCTTGCAGGTGGGCAGCACTAAGAAACGTATTGAAGTCGGTAGGTGTAGGAAGTAAGGCCTGGACCCCCAAGGAGGTGTTTCATATAAATGAGAAAATTGGGTTTTACC